TAGGTTCCAAGTGAATATTTGACCACATCTTTACAAAGTCCTTCAGCTCGAGTAGGTGAATTGAGCGCCGAATGGTGTAACGAAAAGAAAGAAGCTCAGAGGCTCTGCTTCTCAACGTGAAAGAATGGAATTTTTCTGTTGTTGTTTGGGTTAGACGCATTTGACTTTTGAGTAGAATGTTGATTTGTTTTTAGCATCTACAAGTACTGCGATGCCGTCGACTGGTAAGTGACGAAGTAATGTTTTGTATATCATAGCTTATGATGTGTTTGTGTGTCGTCTAGTGACTACATCCCGATCCTGCCCAGGTAAGATGGGAAATTTTCGGTGAAATGGAGTGATGGGTTAATGTTTGTGTTGTTATGAGGTGGGGTTTTCGCGGTGTGGTTTGCTGGGACTTCCCTGTCCGCGCGGATCTTGTGTGGGAGAAGTTGCATTTCTCATTCTTTTCTTGTTTTTGGTGCTCTGTGTGAATGTTTTGCTTTGGATAATGACAAATTTATTCTGGAAACTTTGAAGTATGTAGTTTGTATAAAATGCCATTTAACTTTTCAAGCATAAAAAAGTAAGCTAGCAGCACTCGGTGCATCTTGCTATTAAAAGATTTGAAAGTATTGAAGCTAGCTAGCGAGCATTTGAGCTAGTTGGAAACTCATACAGTAGCTTAGATTTCCATGAAGGAAGCATTTCTGAGAGTTGAACCTAGAGACAATAATATGCAAAGTTTAATTTTTTCAACGGTTTTTGTTCTTAGCACAAATTTGGGAAGCTTCCTCTTTGGTGAAAATGCGAGTTTTTTACTTATTTTTGATTTTTAGCTATGAAGGAAGTGTTTCCAAACATTGTATCTGGATAAAAAAGTATTGAAAACTGAATTTTCTGTGTTATTGTCTATAGGTTCAACTCTGAGAAATGCTTGCTTCATGGCTGATAATCTTTATTACACTAATCTAGCTTAACTTGTTGATCAGAACAGAACGAGAATATATAGTTTTAGTTATGTGTTCCTGTGGTATTGTGGCTTACGGAGAAGATTATTGATCTCTAGATACAGCGTCCGAATCTCTGCAGAAACTTTGTTTTAGTTTTTTTCACTCAGTGTATATAAACACGCTGCAGCTAGCTGCACTCGCTAAATGTTACTGTTTTAGCTAGCTGCAGTCAATGGAGAAGCGGTCGCTTCTTTAGCAAGCGCAGCTAGCTTTTATCTTATCACATTTCGTGCTTGGGCTAGCTACCGTATTTATTACTACTTTTCTGAATTTATCGTGCCTTAATCGTAAAGATGCTTCTAGACGTTGTTTTCAGACAATACCGATTTGATAAGTTTTCCAGCAAGTCACATCAGTTACACCTGTTGACTTTTAATTATCTCCGAATTATACGCGTTTATGCTTTATGAACCACGCTCGAGAGAGCGCAACATTTGAAAACTCTTCACCTGAATTAAAGAGATCTTTTAAACGAGTTAGAGAAACTTCTCTTAAACCGCGTACCCAGTTTGAGTTTTGTTGCAAGGCTTTGCTAAAAACAATAGTTGTTGTTTTCTGTCTAATCGACAGGTGAAAGAGGTTTGACACTCAAAAAATTGCGTAAATGTATGCATGTTGTTCAGCTGTTTGGATGGCATGGTTATCGAACTGAGCATAGTTATAGTCTTTCTTTGGATCTGCTGGATTTCCACTCTTGGATATGAAAATGAAGTTGAATAGAGCTTTCATCAATAGTGTCGCATAAGGTGAAAATCGGCTAAAAGTCAACTTTTAGTTCTTTTGTATATCTGATACAAGTTGAAGGATATATGATGACTAGCTGAGCTACGTCTCGTTTTGTAGATCAAAGAGTGCTCCTCGAAGTTTCCGATGGATTCAAGACGATTAGATCGACTGTTTTTCTCTTACAATTATTTTGACATAAAGACTAAAAGGAACTTCCGCAGAAAGCGCTTCGAACATTTCTACTATAGCTAAACAATAATCAATGATATAATAGAATAATCCGTATTACGGAGGCGTATCCATTTAAGTAGTGGGCAATTCTCCGGCCAAAGTATTTTGAGAGGTGGGCAGCAACGGGCAATTGAAAAATCTAAACATAGATAACAATAAAAGACACAAAAAAAGAACAAAGATAGCTATAATCTAAAATCTAATCGTCGCTGATGTTTTTGTACAAACAAATGGAAAATTTGCATAGGATCAATTTCTACATTTTTGTGAATGTACCAAATATTTTAACGAAAGAGTATCGTTGAGTCGTCATCATTGAGATCATTGGTTAAATAGAAATGACTGTCTATTGATTTTTCTGAAACAACTGATTAGATCTCATCTTGAGACCGTTCATTAAAATCACATCATTTCAGTCATCAAACGTACAACAGTATCAAAATTTTTTCACAGTGGGCAATTGCCATTATCTCCAAAAACTGGTGGGTAATAAATTTTGGACTGGTGGGCAATTGCCCAACTGCCCACTACCTGGATACGCCACAGATCCATAATGAATTTTGAAGAACACACTTTTATCTGTGCAGATAGCGTTACGCGCTCTTACTGATCACTAAACATCGAAGACATTTAACTTGGACACTGTATGTGTTCAGAATTTTATGACTTCAAGTCAAGTCCTGAATGCATGGGTGTGATATGGAAAAGTCATCAGCACTTCAAGAGTGTAGAAGAGTTTTGAAGATATACTTCGGGATAATGCTGATAAATTGCATAACTACGAAACAATTTTAGAAAAAGCCATTTTCCTTAAATTCGTTAACTATATCACTGCTCTAGAGATGAAATCTTCTAGAATATTGCAAGAATCTTATGAATTTTTTAATAAGGTAATCGATGGAATCTACTGTTTCATACGTGTAAAATAATTTTCTTCCCTCTTATGTGGTTTTTCTATAATAACACCTTCGTTCCCCGTGGACAGTCTTATAACTCGTCCTCATTGTCTACTCCTTGTAGACCGGACTTACTTTCCCGAATCTATCATGACTATAGAAAGAAAATGAAGTTCGAAAAATAAAAATATGTAAGATAAGAACGCAGAGTACGACACGTTACTCGTTTAATATATTCCGGTTTTTCAAAGCGATCTCTAGGAAAATGCATCATTTGAGGTCCATTTTTTCTATAAAGATCGGATTCCATTCGGACTCTCTAAATCGCAGAAAATAGAGCAGCTAGAGTACTACTAATATGCATCAAAACTCTTTTCATACCTGTCTCAATAAAGCACTAGAAGCAGTCATAAAAGAACTTCATTTACTAACCTGACTTATCATTCAATACCCAGTAGCCAAAGAAAAGAATTTTTTGATTCATCGCAAGAGAAAATGTGTCTCTAAAAACATTTTAATGAATTGTTTCTAGCAAAATACAAATCTCTCAGAATATAATTCTGACAAAATCCTATTAATTCTATATACGCTATTTGTACTTTTGAAGATTCAAACTGATTGTTCAGGGATTCTTCTGTTATCCTACAGGTGAAACCGTTTTGAAAAATATCTATTGAAGAAGAAGTACGTTCTGGTCTTTGTTATCCAGTGCCAAGCAGCGTAACCCTCTTGTTCAAGAAGTTCACCGGTTTTTATAGCCAAAAAAAGACAGTGAAAAACAGTATTTTATAACACTATCAAATGACAGGGTGTATCGACATTTTATATGTCGATTCTTTCACGCTCAATTCATCAGTCACTACTGCCTTGTATGATGTGTGTTAGTGACTAACGAGTTTCTACACAGAAGACATTTATCGTCCAAAACAATATATCGTCCTAGCAGGAAAAGTTCTGATACACGCTTTCCTTGAAGAGGATACCAACTTTTTAGATGAAACTTCGTAGATAAGATTGTGAACTACAGCCGTAAGCATGCAAAATAACTTTTGAACGATCCAACTGTAAGGTAGAAGTTCTTTCTCACCAAGGCTCGGAAAAGAGCTGGTACACCTATAGTTCATCTATCGAGAAAATAACGGGTGATTCAGAAAAAATGAGTCACTTAGTATTTATCCAATATCTGTTAATTTTTATTGCCAAGACTCGAACTTCTTTTTAAAAGATTCTCGGTTCAATTCTCTACAAAAACTATATTGAACTTTTTTTAAACATAGTATAAATAAAGGAATATGAATAAAACATTGCGAAGCTTCAGTACTTTTTAGCCTAAAAAGTAGTTTTTAATTTTAGTCCTTTATAACCTGCGATAGAAGATAAGAGAAAATGACCATTTTGTAGCCCTTGATAAGTCTGATCAATTGGTAATATTTAAAACTTTTCATCATTACAATTAGTTGTGAGAGAATGCCCTTTCTTTTATCAATTTTATCAAAAGTCATTGATCTTAAACCTTAGTTTTAGAGCACATGAGAAAACTTTTATAAATCGGTGATAATCAAACATTTTTGAATACTTAACACATTTTGGAGCCGAGATCGTCTCATCTTAAAGCAAAATAATTCCTCTATTGCATCCGAACAGAAAAGTCCAATGGCTGCATTCCTTCTGCTGTGTCGGAGCAAACTAGTCAACATTTCCCTCTTTTCTCGTAAACTTATTAAAATCTCCGTCTGTGCCAGAAATTGCTTCTAAAACCTATCGATGACAGATGAAAAGAAATGCGGCACCTTGGAGTGATAGAGTACATTTTGACTTTGCGTTTTATGCATACCACTGTATTCAAAATAAATATTTTTACGTTAAGGTTTGAGTTACAAAGTAGCTTTGCAGTGTTTCCTGCATATTCCTTTATTTATATCATGTATACTTTGTAGAGTTGGGAATCTTTTCAAAAAAAGTTCGAGTCTTGACAATGAAAATTGATAGAGATATTGGTAAAATACTAAATGACTCAATTCGTCTAAACCATCCGTTAATCCCATTTTTGCTATGCATCGTGTGACTTTGTAGTGTTACCAACAATTTGTCCCAATGGCACATGGAACTCAGCCGGGGCGATAGTTGGCAATGGTTCAAATACCATTAGACTTATAGCTGCAGATACTTTAAGCGGGAACATTTATACTATACACCATGCAACTCCAGACGGTCAACTCCTTAATGTTACTATTCCATTTACCATAATAGCATCAAATCTAAGCTCAGCTTGGGGTGTTGCTGTCGATCCCTACTCAAATGTTTATGTAACGTATGGTACCAGCGTGGTAAAGTTTCCAGGCGGCACTGTAGTAGCGGGTGGTGCAGCACCAGATCCTCCTCAATCTCCATTTGGTATTTGTGTCGATTGTTTCGGCGCAATATATGTAACAGACTACGCGTACTCGCGTATTCAATTGTGGTCAAATTCTAGTGTTGGAGTAACAATTATTGGTTACCCAAATGGTACTTTTGGAAGCGGGCCAAAAGAACTAAACTCACCGGTAGATGTTAAACTTGATCGACAGGGTAATATTTACGTACTTGATGAGGGTAATAATCGAATACAAAAATATCCTCCAGGCGGTGGGACCGGTACAACAGTAGGAACTCTCCCAGTGTCCAGTGGTGCGAGTGCGTTACTTGTAGATGACTGTGGAAACTTTTATGTCATCCAAAATTTGGGCGTATATAAGTATACTTCAGCATCGACTTCAGGAACATTAATGCCACCAATATTTACTGGTACACCATTTGGAATCGCATTTGATGTTCAACTGAATTTGTATATTACTGTAAACATTAATTCAACCGTTGGTGTTACGTATAAATATGCTTATTCATAGTTGTGTAGGAAAAAAATCACATTCAAATATTCATTTTGCATACTTCTTAATTTTACAAGTTCTGTTTTATGTTTTGTTAAGTTTATTTCTATTCTTCCTTCTATGTAGCCAACTGGAGGTAGTACATAAAATAAACAATTGCATCTCTGCAACAACTTAACTTTAATTTATATTGCGCGCTTTGGGCTGTACACACCGTTGTGACGATAAAACCTGCAGTAACAAAATATCCATTTTAAGG